TTATGTAGAATGCAAACACAATCTAAAAATATCCTTCTCCCGTCCACAAGGGTGAAAGGAATATTTTGTTTCAACTTAATTCCTTATAACGACAGCGATAACAGCTCTGCTTAGTTTGAATTGTATGCAATTTCGAGTTATTAAAAACATGGTGTTCAAAAAACACAGGTTAACTTTATTTACAATGCTCTGTTATAAAGTCAAGTAGTTGCTGTAAAACCAAATCAGTATTTTATTACGCATTTACTTGCGTGGTAATGCCAAAACAGGTAACTATTTGAATGTTTGTTCTATAAAAACATAATATGTCATTAAAGGTTGTAAAGCTGCTTACAAATCCTTATTTAATATGTTCTCTATATTTAATAGTGTCAAAAGGTAGAGCCATAGATTACATTTTGTCGGAAGTGAAGGCTTGGCGCGGAAATGAACATGCCTCCAGGCTACGTCGCAAGGCAAGCGAGGTTCAATTTAGCTTGATTGTCTGTTGAGTGCATTTGTAGATCTAATACGGTTAGCCTTACGTCTCTGAGGATATGCAGCAACAAAGATACTTATAAAACTCTATATTGTAATATTGTAGTGAATATAGGTATAACATTTGAACTTAGAGATAAACAATTTACTTTAATGTGTTAGTAATAATAGTAATAATTCTGTTTGATTTTTTAATATCAATAAGTAGGGTGGTGGTGATAGGGTGGTGATTAATACTGCATCATGAAGGCAATGGGTAATGATACTCATAATTATTTATGTTATATAACGAGTACAGTCAATCCTCTCAGGATTTGCTCATAAAAGAAAAGGTAAGTTATTAAAGCTGCTGGCCAACGTCACCTATAAATAACCCAAAAAAACCCCTTAAACAAGACTTATACTTGATATATCATTAAGTTAATACGAATTTACTAGACACGTGTAGTCTTTTATAAACAAGACTCAACTTTTAACATTTGGTATTTATAAAAAACAAGAACAAAAACAGAGTTTAAAGACGACTGTAGCTTATCCTAATTTGCTTCTGATCACTCTCCATCCTAAAGAGAGTTGAAATCCAATGAGACTACTTTCATAGAGATAACTCTAAGCTATCTATCTAAGCATAAATGTTAACGTTTATAAGTAGTGTAGCATACTATTTATTGTCTATAACTATGAGATAAATTTACCGCTATTCGATACGTTCACATAAGGTGAAAAATTTCTTCACTGCTACTTTGCTGTTATACTATATTTCTTGTAGGAACAAAACGGCCAAGTCACATATTCTAACTAAGATGTAGAGATTGTGACGTTAGGGGCTTGTACTGATACTAACACTAATGAATTTATTTAAATCCTGATTAGTATTAAAATTTGCAACATAAGCTTTGCTTCTGTGCTATGTAATCCTGCCAAAAAGTCGTTGTAATACTATTTTCATATAGTTTAAAGTTATATTTTTTGTTTCTAAGTTATTACATCTGAAATGTATGAGTTAATCGAAGAGAGCGTCTGTAATAACCTCGTACTTGACCGAATCTTTGAATGCCAGGGCAAGTAATATGAATAGACGGAATTTCAAAATATTTTGCAAAATGTGACGGTACTGTCACTAACCTTGTAGTTCAAATAAAAAGAATTGCCGCATAGAAAACAGTATTAAAGTTCATTAAAAAAACAAAAACAACAGGATTATACAATACTTTACACATAGTTGACTCTAATTGTAAAATATTACAAATTGTTTAAAGTTATTTGACAATGTAATCACATGACATTTTTTATATTTGTAAATGTTTCTCAATACCAAATAAAAAGTTTTACATTTAATCTACATTTAAAACAAACGTTTTACTCAGCACTTATCTACTTATCAGATAGTCACTGTTCTCACGACAGTCCTCAATAAGGAAATGTTTAAAACCTGAATGTAGTATACTGGGGTAGAGTATTAACACCATTACGAAATTAGAATAATGAAATAAAATATTTTCAAATGTAATCGTGTTTATTTTATATTCAGACACATTCAAACACACACCTCTGATATTTCTGTGTATTATATCAAATAATAGCGTATCAATATTGCGAGTCGAAATGTATAATATAATAATATATAAAGAAGGCGAGAGGCGAGGCGAAATATATATAATATAAAATAAATAAATGCAATAAGGCAAATTTGCGTATCCTTGATATTCCGAGGCCCTTTGAGGTATGTTGAATACCAGGAAACTATAGGTCAACGCTAACAATAACGAACGAGATCCTCTTGGATAAACCATAGTGTGTATGTTATTAATTTCATAGTCTTCAATAAAAAACCTTGCAACGTTTTGTTATAAGATTTTCTCAAATGATAAGCAAAATTATTAATGTCGAGGACAAGATGATGCAACCCTAACTGCATAACAATTAATTATCTACATGTAATACGCCTAAATACTGTAGGTTATTAAATCTCCTTGGTTCTGATCAATTAATAATAGCTGGAACTAAAAAACTCAAGTTTAAGGTTTCGTAGATTTTAAATTAACATACTTTACCCGCCCAGAAATAGGAGTATTGCGTCATTTTAGAGACCAATATCGTACTAAAAATTACCGCTGGATATTTGTTAGAGCGCTGCCGTTGAGATCATTTACGGTTTCTTTTTGTGCTTTTTATTTATTTTACGCAATTTGTGAGGACTAATGGTCATTGGAGCAGTCATGTACCGTGATTAGGCAAACGTAGCGTAGGGCGTCCCTGCGGCACGATTAATCGGCGACTTAAGGAAATTGTCATAGGATGGATGCGGATTGCCCAAGACTGAGACAGAGACTGAGAGACTGGGAGAGAGACTGTTCCTTGAGTAGTCCTCCTTTAGTTAAGTGGTCGACGGTGTTAGGCTGATAATAACACAATTTATGATCCGTTTTTAAAATACAAGAAAAATTTCGGACTGAAATCAGTTAACAGACATGAAGCATAGTTACGATTCTTTTTTGATATAGGAGAAGGTTTTATACGACTCTGTTTACAATAACGAAATGGGTACTATTTACGAAGGGCAAAAAGGACATGTTTATCTCATAAAATATCTATTAGTTTATTATTGTACTTCAAAATGTGTCACTGTCTTCACTGTCGCTAAATTGTAACACACTGTATTTGGCTTAATTTTCCATAATAGGAGGTTTTTATTTCAGTTGGACCTACCTTGAATAGAAACAATTCAATAAAAAGGATTACTGAAATCAAATTGTAATTGTGAGTAAAGAGTCATCGGAATTATTTTAACCACTGATGACTGATTAAAATATTTTTTTTATTTTTAATAGCCAAGATATCGATACAGTGACACATGAGAAATACATACACAAAATTTCACAAAAAAAGGTTTTATAAATATACCTAGTAAAAATTTCAACATTTTTGAAAATTCTTAAATGCATTGAGCTAATAAATAAATAATTCTAGCGTCTGATGAAGTAAGATTTTATATGTTACAAAATGTTAGTCTAACATTACAAGAGGAGTTATTATACAATGCCACTTTTATTTCCACACAAAACAAACTTTTATTTCCATTTGCAAGCTGCTGTTTTATTAGTTTATTTCAAAATTTTGGATTTAGCTCTAACTAGATTAAAAAAAAAAAATATCTCTTTAAACTCGATCAGTAGAAGAGGTTAACAAACAAAAATGTTTGAGATATAATTTAATCGAGAAATTGGAGCTGTAAATACAATGCTCCATATATTACATAATTATATTACAATATATGATACATGGGTATTGCCTAACTTAACTACGGTTAGGTTACTCAAGAACAAGATAGCTGATAAACATACTTATATATTTATAAATAGATACATATGACCGTGCTCATCACACAATATTTGTCCTGGGTGGGAATCGAACCCACGACCTCCGGTTTAGCAGTCAGGGTAACTAACCACTAGAGCAACAAGCCCGTCTTCCGATTCGAAATCAAGTCTAAAGAAGAGTGACTCACAGTGAAAACAAGAGATATTCGTTTATAAGACCCGTTGACTCGTTCCTATTGAATTTTGTATATAGGGCTTGTAGTTGCGTAAATGAGTTCAGTAGTATCCCTCTCTATTTATGTATTTATCGTTGAATGATTTACTGATAATAATGTTTCAGACGCGTAAAAAGGCTGCAAATCTACATTTGTAATTTTTAAAAGTCCCCTTAAAAACTAATATCTTCTGCTCATCTCTTAAAACATGTACTTTCTGTCAAAATTGTTATCTTCTTTTTTTAAGACAATTACCGCACTAGGAATAAATCCTGTGTCGGGAGGATTTTACAAACATACATGAAATCGACACAAAGAACACCCTGCCTTAGAACGTCAATTTGTAGATCACACAAAGTGTCGTCCCATGTGAGAATCGAACCCACAACACTCAGCGTAGTAGGAAGCGGCGTGGCGATCACTTAAACCAATACGCCATCCGTGCAGTCACGTTATCTTTGTTAACGTGCATCTTTGTTAATCAGTTCATACTGCAGCCTCGTAATGTAATGTAACGAATGTTTTTGATTGGTTTGGTTATGTTTACGTACGTAGTAGTGAAAAAAAAAATGTGTCTATACCTCTTACAGTTATAAATAACTACTACTAATAATACTAAATTATTATTAGTTTTGTTAGGACCGAGCGGTCCTAACAAAACTAATAATAATTCTGCTCTTAATCTGTGTTTTATTTTAAAATATAGAATTACCACACATATCTTAATCGATTGATTGGTGGCGTGTGTATATTTATGAGCTTACCCCGGAAGAACTTTAATCACTACATTCAGACCTCAGAAGGTTACTTGCCCCAAGCTATATATTGGTAAAATTGTGTGCGCGCGCGCAGTTACCGCTTGCATCTGCTCCGTTGACATTGAATCCAGTAGTAAGTGTTACGTTAATATATTACATAGTGTTTACAAGTGTACAGTGTTATTTTTTTATTTTGTGTGTGTTCTGGTTTTATAATTTTTAACTTTAAAATGATTACGGTTGGTATAGAAGTATAAGTGTCCTAATACGGATATGGTTTTTTTTAAGAAATCCGGTATACAAAGTCTATTATTTCTGGCAACAGCTATTGAACACATACTAAATTGCAATTTATTACAAAATTCTCCGTACCTGCACCTTAAATGTTTAATATTACGCAAGCCTTCAACGAGGTTACGTCACAGCCATAGCAAACTAATAAAACTAAACCAAAATAATTAAACTATTACAAAGAATGGCAGTAATTACCTGATGACATTATGAACAATAATAATTTTGGCTGTTTTGTAAACAATTACAACACATGACACTACTGGCATGATCTTCATGTTCATGGGCGTTGTTTTTATTTACATGAGATGAGAACTCAGTTTTTAAGGCATTTTAATAGCTTGAAAACAAACACATAAATGTATTTTTGGAAAGGTTAAATATAGAACACGTTTTAAATCTAAGTTTGTATTTGGCTTGCTTCGAGCGTTTAAAGCTATTGTTCTTATGTTAGGTTGGGTTAAAACGAACTTATAGAACGAGCACTTACCGTAGTATGCAGTACTTACTAGTTCTTCAAGTTCAACGTACAACGTCTTTTTAAATCCAGCTTATAAATTTCATTCTATAAAATCATAAGATCTCATAGTACACTTTTGAGGTGCAGTCACTGACCTTCATTGATTCCGTATTGGAATTCGCGACTGCATCTCGAAATACATATATTTAAATAAATAAGTAAATAAATATAAATATATAAGTTTTAATTTGTATTTTGAGTTCGATATTTGATCTCTTACGAAATATAAAACCAATGGTATAATTTAACTTTGACAGATTTATGATGTATTATTAAAGCCAGAAATTAAATCGATCATGGGAATGTAACGGTGTTGGGTTTGCATCTTGTTGTCGTAACCATAAATAAAACGATTGTTGATGATAATAACTGTCTTACGATTCCAATGACGATAAATATATGTCAAATTGTTTTATAAAATACACTTGAGAGTAATGTCAACAGGTACGCGGGTCACTTAACTAAATATACGTGAAATTCTCGGGCACTACGAAGACTAACTTAGTAAAAGGTATCCAATTTATCTGTTTCTCAGACTAGTTTCAGAATGTCTCGCCTACACAAATTTTGACGAGTATGCGTACATATTAGGCATCTGATTTGAGTCTTAAGATCGCAAAGTGGTTACAGTTTCTTTTGATATCTGTATTATAAATCTAGTAAAGGTCAAATTTACTTTGTCATGAGCATAATTACACAAAGTATTACAATTTGATAATATAATTCCGTGGATCAGTAGTCAATAAAGCTATACGTTTTTTACCGAAGCTCGATATTTGACTACAGAGATGGATCATGGACGCTTTGTTGAATATTGTCGGTTCTATCTTCAAGTGTAGTTTTAATAAATACACTTTTATATGAAGATTGAACCGAAACATAATGATCCAAGATGCTTGAAGCAACATAGAAATTGATGATTTGCATGTGAAGGAATTTACTACATTTATCAAAGTTCAAGAAATAAGACTTATAGTTTATTGTACTCGTATGTTTAAAAGTATTAATTAAACCCTTTGGATTACTTTTTAAAATTATTAGTTATTTGGTTATTATCAAACGATTCTTCCAATGGTATATTACTAGTATTAGTACTTTCTATCCCTTAATTATAATTGACGGCAAAAGTCGTATTTAAAATACAAATAAAAACATACACTCACGTCTTTATGCCAGAAGACAGAGACGTATTAAACAGCCAAGTAACAATATCCCCTTGGATCGTTAAATATAAAGTTCGAACTAGCCCTTAACAAATAGTAAGTTACAAACTGTATGCCGAATTTAAGCATAATCGATTTTTCGTTGACTTTGACTCATATAAGCACAGACTTCTGACATTTAAAGAGAGTGTATATATAAATCTACAACCTACACACACAAAAGTTGATAATGAGAGCCAACAATTCATTTGTTAAGGTTATAGGTGAATGTCAATTTTACAACAAATAATGGCCGGTGCGCTATTTACCTATGGGATATTCCTCATAGATTTACGAGGAATGTGTTCCTTTTGGGAACATCTTCAGATAAAGATAAATTTATTTGTCAGAACATAACATAGTACATTAGGTGTTATATTATATTCATTAGTTTCTTACATTCTACCATTTCTGGTGTACACATATTTTTATTAAAGTGCTTCAATGGTTTTAATTGAAATACTAAAAGAAATTAGTTAAATAAAATCTAATACAATAAATTAATTAACATTTTGAGAGGAAGTAGAATAAAATCAATAAATTAACATACATAAATAATAGAAAAATTAAATTAGATCCATAAATAATACATTAGAATAATAAAAGTAATTAAATAGAACAAAGTCAAAAACCAAATTTAATGTCAAACATTGTCAGTCAAATCGCTCACTTACTCCATCTGCATAGTCGGTAATAAGTAACGGAATAAGCGACCGACTATATATATATAAATATGAATATTAAGTAGTAGTTTATCTTGAGGACATACTTAAGAAATAAAATGTACATTAATATTCATTCAACATTCTATTGCAAGTACCTTACGTAAACTTATGTTTTTAATTTTCAGATCAAAATGCGTTATTTTATCATTGCTGCCGCTATTATCGCACTGGTCCAAGCGAGACCTGGACTGTTATTTGCCCAGCCAGCCTTCCAACCTCTTGGAGTGCAATATGCATCAACAGGATCTGTTGTACATCCTCATCCTGCCGTGGAACTCAACGCCGCCAGCGAAGCTTTGCTACCCAGAAGTCTGTTGAAATCCAGAGACTTTTATGACAACCCAGCTATCGCTGCTGGACTCGCTCAGGAATCATGGTTCACCAAAAAAGAAATGCAAGTCGTTGAGCGAGAAGCAGAGAAAATTCCTCGTCAGAACATATACCATATTGTGAAAAATGCCGGCTTTTTGGATAGGCACTAAGTCAAAGTTTTAAACATGCTACCTGAAGCATTGATTTATACTCAGTAATAAGGAACTTTTATGATACTAAATATATTTTAAGTCTTGTTATAACTAAATTCTGTGCTATTTATTAGTGAGTGACAATACAATGGCAGGCATATATAATAATATCTGACTGCCTCGGTGGTGCGATGGTAGCGTATGCGACTGCCGTTTTGAGGTCTCGGGTTCGGGATATGTAAATATTTGTTTCGGAGTTTTATAGTTTTCTATGAATAATATGTTTGTATTTACAAAAAAAGTACATAAGTATTCTATCAGTCAATCTAGCTTTCATAGTACAAGCTTTGCTTAGTTTAAAACTAGATGGCGTTATGTCAGATGTCCGAAAATATTTATTAAAAAAATTCAATCATAGTGTCATTATTTTGATATGTAAATGGTGAATTACGTGATATGATTCATATTCTTTCAAGAAAAGAGGGTACTTACTCCCACTCCAAGGATTTGCAACGCACTTATTAGTTGCATTTTTCTATGGGTGAGATAAGTCACTTACCATTCATCCATACCATGTTGACTAGTCTGCTATTATGGCCTATACTATAAAATAAATATTATGCAGTTATATAATCTACAGTCTATAACAATCACAAGACTTGTTTGTGTGAAAACTGTCACATAAGTGAATAACAATTCTTATGATTTTTTATAACAATATTGTATCAGTAGTTTTTATTTAATGCCGGTTTTAAATAGTTTTATGATATTACCTTGTAAATTCGTACGCACATAAAATAATACAATAATAATATAAATACTTGTAAACTTAGAATTAAGAATTTTTAGATTGTTTGTAAGTCGTGGACATATGTATGTATCTGAATCAATGTCGCTTACATTATTTAATTATTATTTGTTTGCATATTTAAAAATCAATTTGTACTAGATTAATGACTTGCTGGTTAAAGACGTACAATCTTTTCAAAGACAAGATATTTAAATAAAGTAATGAATGTTATGGCAAAATGAATAACTGAAATTATTGTAAGATTTTGTTAATACATAATCAGTTCTCTTAAGTATCAATAAGTATTTTATTAGAGTTTATGTTATTAGAGTATACTTATGCAGTCCATATTTAGTTTGTTTAGCTAATTTATGTAAATATTGATTATAATCAAAGGTTAACTAGTAAACCTAGTTTCTGTAATGGTTTAATAGTTTATCTAATAGTTTGATAGTAATAACTGTGATCTCGAACAATAAGTACTAGTAGTAAGTTATTGTTCTTTATAATAAAAAAAATTTCGAATACAAAATGGCGGTTTCAAACAATCGTATTAATATCACAGTCTCCGCCGTAAAGTGGTTTCTTGAAGCTTCTCCCCCTTTTGCAGGTTACCCAGCATTCGTGTGTGGGTCTTTGAACGAAATCTGAAAGTTAAATATTATATCCGTTTATTTTTTATAACAGTAAGTTAGGAAACAAGTATACGGCCTTCTGACCTTTCACCTAGCTGCTGGGTCAATGGGTGTTTCAGGTGGGTTATTATCTCTATCCCTTCATAGGCTTCGGTTTAACCTCCTAAGCACCACTAATCAATCTAACTACTGTCTTCAGTGGAGTAGTAACCGTGAAGTAAAAGTAGTATTTTGTTTTTTTACACATATTTAAAAATTAAATATATTATGGGAATCGGTAAGTCCGTAGGAAAAACATTTAATAAAATCATTTTTTTTATTCATTCATTTTTTTTTAATTTTTGTCTGACCAAAAATTATGCACGAAATGAAATGATCTATGAATGTTAAAAATAATCTAAAAGTATTAGGACTAATCTATCTAAATAATTATTACCTCAGCACTGTAAATACTAAGTAAGGAAACAGTTAAAAATACTAAGTAAGCGAAGGGCAGTTGCATCTTTGATGCAACTGCCCTTCGCCAGCCGCAATCTCAATAACATAACAATCTATTGAATTGAGAATCCAGCAAGCGAAAGGCAGTGGAACTGGAATTTAAAACATCTTTGATCGGTTGCTAGTAGTTATTATTAATATTCTTAGTTTTAAAAACGCGGTCTAAGCAACGCGATTTTTAACTGATGCGCTGAAATTTAAACTTTGGGAATTAACGCGATCATGTAACAGGTATCACATACATACATATGTATTGGCTGACGTTTCGATCTGGTTACACAGATTGCACTGGCCGTGGTCATATATTGTTCCTATCTGACCTAATTACCTGTAACGTTATCCCCCTATATCCCCATTAATGAACACACCGACATAAGAACATACATACAACGTTATATTGAAAGAAGTTGAGAAAGTTTATGAAGTATTACAATTTATGTGAAAAAAATCTTTAAAAGCTAAATAAAAAAAATATAGTGAAAAAAAAAAATCTATGTTAAAAATCTTTAAAAGCTAAATAAAAAAAATATAGTGAAAAAAAAAAATCTATGTTAAAAATCTTTAAAAGCTAAATAAAAAAAATATAGTGAAAAAAAAAATCTATGTTAAAAAATCTTTAAAAGCTAAATAAAAAAATTATAGTGGAAAAAAGATCTAAAAGATAGGAAAGTACATTTTAAACAAATATGACAGAATATAGTACACGTGGTGAACCCATCAAATAACTATGTTCACTTAGTTACATCATATTGTAGTCGTAAATATTTTCGTTTCGAAACTCTAACTGTTGCACAAGAAGGGACTTAATAATATGGCGGAACCATTTTCGGTATACTTTTATTCACGAAGAAAAAATTAGTCAATGACATAACAGCAATCTATACGAGTATACCTACTATATAATCACGTGATCTACCTGCTGATTTGGATGGACCCTGACCAATTTTTTCGGACTGGTTATTATTTTAGTTATAAAATTAGGCTATCAAAGACATATATTAAAAAACTGTCTGTTATGTTTATGGGTAGGTTGGTTAGTTGAGCCAACCAAGCTGCTGTCAGAAGCGCACAAGTCTCCTGGGACGTTCATAGGCTTCTAGGAACGATTTTGTATCAGAAATAATATTTGCCCTTTGCGTGGCCACTCCCTCGCATTCCAAAATGACGTGGGCGGCCGTTTCCACTGCTTTAAAACACCCAGATAAATATTAAATTAAGTACGACAAATAATTAGTATTGAAGCAATCAGTGTTATGTGCTTTACTAGAACGTCTATTAATATATGTATGTATCTACACAATGTAAATTATGTTGTATATACACAACATAATTTTAAATTTGTTACCATAGACCTCTTTCCATTTAAACAAAGTTCTTTTGTCCTTTTGAAATTCTGAATTTCACAGGGTTTAGTAGTTAGTGACATCTGATTTGATTCCTAAGAAAATCGGTGGTGACACACGGACAGACAGACGGACAAGAGAGTGATCTTATAAGGGTTCCTTTTTTACCTTTTGAGGTACGGAACCCTAATAAATTAAGTGTTATTGATACACTGTTTGCTCAAAGAGAACGAAAAAACCCTTACATTCCTGTACACGAATATTATACCTTTATTGTTTTATTTGTAAAATTCTTTCCAGCGGTTGTACGTATACTAGGTATAGTCTATTAGATGGCGCCGGCGTGGGTGTCAAGTACCAAACGAAAGAGAGCTCAAAACAACTCGTATTCATAAGAGATTTCTATTATGAAAGAGGTCTGAGTATTCTGGTTACAGACGTCCTGAAGAGACCCTTCAGTTGGAAACTGATAGGACTGAGTTAACTACGATACAAAAGGTTGGGATTAGATAATCTGGATTTGAAGCGTATTCAAGAACGCGTGGGTGTATTTATAGACCTACTGTAATTAAGATATATATTCAAGGTTTGTAATTAATATACATACCTAAAAGGCTTGAGGCTATCGCTGTGACGATGGCTATTTAAATGATTTTTTAAACTTCTATTTGACTTAAGAATATTCTCCCTTTGGATTAAGTTTAATTGGTTTGCTTTTTATATATTTCGAAACAGATTAATAGCATGTTACTCATTAAAATTTGGTGCAATGAAAAACACCTCCTCAAATCCAACCCCCTGCGCCTTTCTAGTAGTGGTTGACGTTGATAAATGTGTGATAAGATGACTACAAATTTTTGTTGTCATTTCTTTACTAGAACTTGTTTTTTTACGAGTAACCCCCTATGGGCTGTCACCCCATCGGGGTTTGCGGTAGGACGTGTATCGGAATCGAACCGGCTAAAATCACACACTGCGCCTGAAATAGGAGAGATAGGATAAAAGCTTTTAGTCAGGCGTCCAGGCCTTTCTTGTGTGTTTTGTGACCGATGGCCTCACCTGACACCCTTAGACCTGCACTTATGCAGAGCAGAAGTCATTCAGCGACCTCCTCTACCTCAGCCGCGTGCATTATCTGGCCCGTTTCTGGGCTTCGCGGACCCGGAGAGTTCTAAGCCTCTTCAGGTCCCACACCATCCTCTCCTTCTAGAGCATAACTTGCTCATAGAAGGAGGTGGCGGAGTTCCACGCGACATGACTCCGTTCCTTGAATGACACGGTAACCAAACGAAAACCTAAAAACCAGATTTTCTAAAAAAAATATTAAAGCATTTTTTTCTTTAATTTACTTCTGAATTATGACCACATTAACATGTAACAAATTAAATAATATGTTCACTCTGTAAAACGTTAGGATAAGAAATAATAAATCTATGTGTTGAGGAGGGCATTTATAAGAAAAACTTTATCTGTTTGTGTGTCTTTAATCTCTCAGAATATTCTCCTCATAAAGTCTGACTGTGACTATTATAATTGTTCTAGATAGTGAGTGTAATTCTTCCAATGTTCTGTTCATTTACATTTTTGGCCAAACTAGTAGTGGGATTTAGTAGTGGGAGTAGTCGGTTTAATTTCAGAAGATCCTTTGGCCAGATCCATGATGGATCTAATGGCGATTTTATTTTCCATTAGATCCTGATTTCAAGATGTGGATCTACTATTTGATTCAAAAGATCCATTGGCCAGAACCGT